TTGGGCACCTCGCCTCTGCCTAGTGGGCCTGTGGGAGCCCACTGGAGCCCAGCACTTACTCCCCCTGAGCGGCAAGCCCTGTGTCGGTCTCAGCTGTCCAGCACTGAGGGCCAGGGTCTTGTGCCGTGGGGCTGGGGGATGCCCTCTTTTCTATATTTATTTCATAAACGCCTCCTGTGGGAGCGGAAAGCAGTCCAGCCTAGGGCTCCCAGCCCTCGACTGTCGTCCTGTGAGGGCCTGAGGCTGGGCCAGGGCCCTTCGAGGCAGTGCCCCTGCCCAGCAGCCCACCTGGCCCCTCCAGGCCTGCTGCCCATGCGTGGTCTCTCTCCTCCTTTTCAAAGCAATAGCTGCCGGGTCTGCAAAGCCCTGTCAGACAGACTGGGCCCTTCCAAGGTCAAGCCATGTGTCTGATTACATTTCTGGTGAAGCAAATGAGAGGAGGATGGGTCAGCCCTCACTGGGTGTCACACACTGAGAGAAGTCCTATTGTAAAGAAACAAAACGGAAAAAGTCACAAAAAAGTTTGTATAAAGACATATTTTTGTACTACATGGGGACTCTTCCTGCATGTCAGCAATAAAACTTCCTGATCTGGGACCAGCGTGGCCTGCATCTCCTGTGTTCTTGCCCTCCCTGCCTGCGTCTCAGCCTCTGCAGCCCCGACCCAGCCCCATCTCCCTCCGTCCCAGCTAGGTGGTGCAGGATTCCCAGCTGGCTTCCTGTAGCTCTGAGTGTGCCTCCTCCCTGCTCCCCGAAGCCAGCAGGTGGCACCTGGCACCTCTGTCTTGGCTAGGGGAGGGCAACCTGAAGTTCCCAGCAGTCTCTTGAGGCCCATGCCCCACCCCCAGCCCATTGCCCAAGTGGGAGCTCCCTGCTTGGCTTGGTCCAGCCCCTGACCTTGCAGGCAGGAGGGAGGGGAGCATCCCAGCACCACTGCAGCTGACGAGTATTGATCCTATCTTTGCCGAACTCCATCTGGGGTGGGGGAGCCTACCACCCCAGACAGACTGCCCATGTGCCCACATGCCCATCCAGGGCAGCCAGGGAAGGAGACTTCTCACACAGAGAAGTCCTACTGTAAGGAAACGACAAAAAAAGGTCACAAAGTTTGTGTAAAGACATTCTTGCCGGGCGCGGTGGCTCAAGCCTGTAATCCCAGCACTTTGGGAGGCCGAGGCGGGTGGATCACGAGGTCGACAGATCGAGACCATCCTGGTCAACATGGTGAAACCCCATCTCTACTAAAAATATAAAAAATTAGCTGGGCATGGTGGCACGTGCCTGTAATCCTAGCTACTCAGGAGGCTGTGGCAGGAGAATTGCTTGAACCCAGGAGGCGGAGGTTGCGGTGAGCCGAGATCGCGCCATTGCACTCCAGCCTGGGTAACAAGAGCAAAACTCCGTCTCAAAAAAAAAAGAAAAAGACATTCTTGGCTGGGAGTGGTGGCTCCACCTGTAATCCCAGCACTTTGGGAGGCTGAGGGGGCGAATCACAAGGTCAGGAGTTTGAGACCAGCCTGGCCAACATGGTGAAACCCTGTCTCTACTAAAAATACAAAAACCAATTAGCTGGGCGTGGTGGCAGGCGCCTGTAATCCCATTTACTCGGGAGGCTGAGGCAGAAGAATCGCTTGAACCGGGTGGCGGAGGTTACAGTGAGCTGAGATCGCACCACTACACTCCAGCCCGGGTGATAGAGTGAGACTGCATCTCAAAAAAAAAAAAAAAGACATTTTTGTACTACACGGTCTGCTGTATCTTCAGTGTATGTATTCTATCAGTGTACTGCTGGTCTCCAGTGTCCCAGGGAGGAGCCAAACTGGACCTATCAAGAGCCAGGCCTCTTCCTGTTCTACCCTCCCCCTCCCTCCCCTCAATAGGAAGCCAAGGGCTTCCTTCCTTCCTTTCTTCTTTCCTTCCTTCCTCTGCCTAAATTTAGACTTTGCGGATTGCACTTCATTCTAGCAATGAAGCTAGAGGCAGGCTGGCCCCTCCCCCGGCATACCACAGCACCCACACAGACCCACTTCTGTGTCCAGGAGCCCACGGCCAGGCCACACAAGGCAAAAGATCTGTGCAGGCAGAGCCCCTTCCCAATCAAGGGTCCTCAGAGCAAGAGGAGCACTCCTCAAGATGTGAGAAGGCTCTGCTCGTCTGCAGTGCACCTCACAGCTCCACACCTCCACAGCAGCCAGCTGTCCACAGATTTTGCCCATTACATTTGACCCATGCCTGACCCATCCTGGATGCTCTGCTGGGAGGTGCTCCCGCTCCCAGCCCGCCATTGCCACTCTCAGCTCTGGACCTTGTCTCCATGTTCAGCCTCACGCCTGTCCCGCCGCCCATGTAGCCTCTGTTCAGGGCACAGACCTCCTGGGCGCCTACACGTGTCACGCTTACATTCAGCAAAACACAAGACAGCAAGTTCCCTGCAGGCAGAGGCTTTGCCTTGCTCACCTTTACCTCCTCAGCACCTGGGTCTGGGCCTGGTTACACCCTGGCACTCCTGAACAGTTTGGTGTATCGATCTAAATTCCTTGGTTGTGAGTCAGTCAATTTAAAAAGAAAAAAAAAATCCAACTTCTTGGATTGCTGGTTCCTTCACAGGTTTTTATTGTGAGCCCTGTGGCAGCAAAGGAAGGGGAAAGTACCAGAAGGATGGGTCACACCAGTGCGGTCACACTGACCACTCATGTGCTCCTGAAATGTCAAACGAAATGAGAACTGAGAAGCTGACATCCCCCTTAGCCACCCTGGTCTCCAGTGTCCCTGGGAAGAGCCAAACAAGCTGTCAAGCTAGCGGAAGTGGGAAAGGGAGTGAGGAATGGTCTTGGTGGCTCTATTGTTCAGGCTCTAAAGCCAGGTTGGCCTTGACTTTCTCTGTCCCTGCATCCCTCCTTCCCTCCCTCCCTCTCATCCTCTCTCACGCCGCATGTCCAATCCACTGCTGCTCCTGTCAGCTGGCCCTTTCAGAACATGGGCAGAATGTGACCACTTGTCACAGCTCCATGGCAACCACCGTAAGCCCCCATTTCTGGCCTCCTGGTCTCCCACTCTTCCCCACCACAGTGCAGGCACCATGCGGTAGCCAGAGGGAGCCTTTAAAAACCCCAACTGTTCAGCTAAAACTAGGTTCAAAAGAAAAGAATTAAAAAAAAAAAAAAAAAAAAAAAAAAACAATTGTGTCCCTTGTCCATCTTCTGTTTACAACCCTCCGATGGCTTCCTCTCCATGCCAGAGAAAATCCAAAGCTCTATGTGGCTTATAAAGCTCAACACAGTGAGGCTGCACACCCAGCCACTTCCCCACCTGCCCAGCCCCTCACCCCTCACTCTGCCTGCTGCTTGGGCCTCCTGATCCTGAACAAGCCACACATGCTTCCACCGCACCGCCTCTGCACTGGTTATTCTTTCTGGAAGGCTCCTCCCCCAGGTATTTCTGTGGCTCCCTCACTCATTTAGGTGTCTGCTCAAAATGCCGCCTCCTCAGAGAGGCCTTCCCTCACCTGTCCACCTGGTCATTTTTTTTCATTGTGCTCATCACAACCTGACATATATCCAATTATTGCTCATGCCCGTCTCCCCGCTTCCAACACTGAGCTCCTGAACCAGGGCAGGAATCTTTCCTGTTGTGGCCACTGTGGAGGAAGGGAATGAGGGGACCGGTCATCACAATGACTGGCAGTTACAAGGGTGGTGCCAGGGATGCCAGACAGCCCTGCAAGAAAGGCAGATTCTACATCCTGCACAACATAAGTGAAAGGCTTGTTTTTAATTCCCAGAGCCAAGGTTCTAACTCCATTTTACATATAAACACAGACGGCATGCATTCTAGTACACACTGGATTTTCCAGAAATGCAACTACTGTGCAAAGAGGAGGAAACGTGCACTTTAGTTGAGAACTTTACCAAGAGTTCATGGTTTCAGACCCTGACACCACCACACTCTGGTATCAGTTTGCACACACAGCCGTGACCTCCCCAGCAATCGGCCACTTCACAAACACATTATCATTACCTTTTATTTCTTATATATTAATAAGGACAAAATAATTGTATGATTTTTTTTTTTTTTTTTTTTTTTTTGAGACAGAGTTTCGCTCTTGTTACCCAGGCTGGAGTGCAATGGCGCGATCTTGGCTCACCGCAACCTCCGCCTCATGGGTTCAGGCAATTCTCCTGCCTCAGCCTCCTGAGCACCACCATGCCCAGCTGATTTTTGTATTTTTAGTAGAGACGGGGTTTCACCATGTTGACCAGGATGGTCTCGATCTCTTGACCTCGTGATCCACCCGCCTTGGCCTCCCAAAGTGCTGGGATTACAGGCGTGAGCCACCCCACGCCCGGCCAATTGTATGATTTTTAATTAGATGTTAAGGTTGGCATATTAGCTGTAAATTTCATTTCAGGAGCATAAAGGGAGCAATAGCAAGCATTGTGAAAAGGGAGCTTTGGGTCTGAGGGGTAGAGAACCATGGCCTATTGTCGCCTGGTGGAAAGCGGTGGAGAGTGTGGGCTCTGAGGTCCCCTCCGGGCCCCACCACCTGCAGCCATGTGATTCCACAGGCACTGCTTCACCTCGCTTCTCTCTTGGCAAATGGGGGCCATGCTACAAACTGCACAGGGTCACTAGGAAGATGCAAGGCTCAGAGCATGCACAGCATTTGGCAGAGTGCCAGGTGTTGGAAATTGTCCCTGTTATTGTTTTCTCGGTGTTGTTGTTGTTTTGTTTGTTTTGAGACAGGATTTTGCTCTGTCATCCAGGCTGGAGTATAGTGGCATGATCATGGCTCACTGTAGCCTCCATCTCCTGGGCTGAAGCGATCCTCCTACCTGAGGATCTCCTATGTTCCTGAGCAGCAGGAACAAAGGTGTGCGCCACTGTGCCCAGCTAATTTTTGTAGTTTTCTGTAGAACCAGGGTTTTGCCATGTTGCCCAGGCTGGTCTCAAACTCCTGGACTTAAGTGATCTGCCCACCTCAGCCTCCCAAAGTGCTGGGATTACAGGTATGAGCCACCACACCGGGCCTATTGTTCATTTAGCAAATTCCTGCCAGTACCCTCTTTGCAGCAGCTTTCCTGGGTCCTGGGGGTGTGGGGACACTCAAAGGACTCAGGAGGCTCCTGGTGAGTGCCCGTCCTCCCTCCATCCAAGACCTATCCCTGTGGTGGGGTGAGACCCATGTCAACAGTAGAATAGCCAGGGCCAGCCTTCAGTTTGGCCACTGGGGCCAGGAGCAGAGCTGTGCTTGGGTTTGCACCAGGCCCGGAAGACGCTGGCACTCCCAAGTGCCCTCCCATCGGCGCTGGATCCCTCAGCCCCGTGACCTTCCGTCAAGGCCTGTCCTTCCTGTGCTTCCTTTTAGGAGCGCTCTCCGTGCTTTCCAAGGTGACACATCTCCAGTCTCACAGGCAGACAGGAGGCCAGGGAAGCAGTCAACGAGCAGGCGGTGAGCAGACAGCAGGGACGTCCTGGGCAGACAGGCAGCGAGGAGGTAGGGAGGAGATGGGCAGGTGGATGGTTGGGATGAGAGCCAATCTAGCAGGTGACAGACCTGCAGAGAGATTCGAAGCCGGTGGCTGCACAGACCATGGACAGGCTGGTGGGCTGGGAGCAGCAAGCAGTCAAGCAGCTCAGCAGGAGGCGGGAAGGGCATGTGGACCATGGGGACAGCCACACTGGCCAAAGGTTTCAGGCACCTTCCCCAGGGCCCCCAAGAGAATGGCTTCTCAAAACTCCTCAGGGCAAGGCTGCCGCTTCTCTCACCCGGCCCGGCTTGGCCACAGGGGCCTGGCTTGCTCCTGGAGAAGACAGCACTCTGGTTAACGGGCGTCCCTCTCCCTGTAGGCACCAGCAACCATCTGAACCCTTATCCTGCTTCACTAGGGCTGAGTCACGTCTGACCCACTCCAAACACTTATGTCACATGCCAACTCAGACACAAACACACTTTAGCCTGCAGACAGAGATACAGAGAGCTGCATAGCACAGAGATGCCAGGAAACAGCTTGACAGAAAAGATCAAAAATTTCAGACTGCACATAGAGAAGCATGCCTGTGGACCTCACAGAGACAGGACAGGTATGTGCCACACGAACTGAAGCACTGAGGCACACAACACACGTGGTCAGACACACACACACCTATATTCCCGTGGATGGCAGACACTGAACATGCTCGCGCACTCCCAGCAATCCTGCACATAAATAAGCTACCTGTGCAAACGGTCAGTAACATACATCCCTTGAAGATATAAGAATACAACCCACAGAAACTCAATATTGCTGACGGTCTTCAAATCTCGCCCAAGGCAGTGGACAAATTCTGGCATTGTCTTTACCTCTCAGCCCGATCACACACACTCGGTCATGTCCCTGTTCTGGCCTGGTTCTCCTCCCGCCTCGCTGGTTTCTCCTTGCCGACTTCATCTCCAGGAGGCGTCCAGGGCTTGAGCTCCAGACCCTTCTCTCTCTGCCCACTTGCCCCAGGTGGTCAGCCTCCCCCAATCCTGGGGTGGTAAATCCATCTTATATGGTGAGGACTCTCAAATATCTTTTCCAGCCAGACTCCTGGGGGCTCCACTTGCCTTGCCAACACCTGCACCCAGATATCTAATGGGCATTCTCACACCTAACCTATCTACAGTGAAACCGACTCCCCCCAAAACTGCTTCCCCCTGTGGACTTTCCTCAGGTGCCCCAGCCCCAGTATCAAGGTGTTCCTCTGAACTCTCTCCCTCACGTCCAAGTCCAGGGCAGGAACTCCCTTCGGAACACCACCTGAGTCTGAGCCCTCTCACCCCTCCACCAGCCTTGCTCTCACTGCCCTCCCTGCTCCCCTTCTTGCCAACAGTGGCCCACCCTACACTGAGCCACCACAGAGATCTTTCCAAAGTGTGTCAGGGGACCATGCCACTCCCCTGATCAACGCTCCAGGGGCTCCCTACCACACTTACACGAAAAACCAAGCTCCTGGCTGGGCACAGTAGCTCACCCCTGTAATCCCAGCACTTTGGGAGGCCGAGGCAGGCGGACTACCTGAGGTCAGGAGTTTGAGACCAGCCTGACCAACATGGAGAAACTTCATCTCTACTAAAAATACAAAATTAGTCAGGCGTGGTGGCACATGCCTGTAATCCCAGCTACTCAGGAGGCTGAGGCAGGAGAATCACGTGAACCCAGGAGGTGGAGGTTGTGGTAAGCTGACATCGTGCCATTGCACTCCAGCCTGGGCAACAAGAGCAAAATTCTGTCTCCAAACACCACCACCACCACGAACCAAGCTCCAAGGCCAGCGAGCCCCTGCATGGGCAGCCTCTGCCACTCTCCCTTGCACCCACACACCATCTGCATGGCTCTCTGCCCTTGGAGGGAGGTATCTCAAACACGCTCTTACTCCTGCCCTTGATCCTGCTCAGACACTCGTCCCAGATCCCGACACGGCTGCCCCCTATTCAGGTCTCACTGTGGATGTCCCTGTACGAGCCACCCTCAGGTGTTGTTCATCACATTACCCTATCCTGTCATCCCCTGAGCACTTAGAAGCATCTGAGATTATCTTCTATTTTTTCTCCAATTTAGTGTCAGCTCCGAGAGGGCAAAGATTTGTGTCTGTTCTGTTTCTTGTTAAATCCACGTTAGAGCTGTCCTTCGGTATCCTCAGGGGATTGGCTCCATGACCTCCCTTCTGAGGATCCTCAAGTCCCTGAGGTAAAATAAAATGGTTCAGTATTTGCATGTAACCTACACACATCCTCCATATACTTTAAATCATCTCTTGATTACTTATATCTAATACAATGTAACTGCTATGAAAATATACTATTGGCTGGTGTGATGACTCACGCTTGTAATCCCCTCACTTTGGGAGGCTAAGGTGGGTGGATCACTTGAGCCCAGGACTTCAAGACCAGCCTGGGCAACATGGCAAAACCCCATCTCTACAAAAATTAGCCAGGTGTGGTGGTGCATATTGAGGGACCTGTGGTCCCTCCCAGCTACTTGGGAGAATGAAAAGGGAGGATCTCTTGAGCCCAGGAAGTGGAAGTTGTGATGAGCTGGGATAGCACCTTTGTACTCCAGCCTGGGCAACAGAGTAAGACCCTGTCTCAAAGAAAAAAATATATCTATTGTTTAGGAAATAATAAGAAAAAAAGCTTGTACATGTTCAGTGTAGATGTAATGTTGGTTTTGAATATTTTTGATCCAAAGTTGTTTAAATCCACAGATGCTGTGGTCTAGACTAAGAAGTACTAGACATACACAGTGTTTGCTGACCAGTAGCTGCACAGATTGACACACACATACCCACCCCCCACAACAATACTAATACACCACATTAATATGCAAATATATGGATGTGGGCAAAAATACCACCATGCTCTCTCAGAACAGACCAAACAGTCACAAAGACACCCAGGAGTCCCTTTTCCATCCACATGGGAGTCAGTCCTAGTCCTCCTCCACCTAGATCTGCCCTCTACTTGAACCCAGTCTTGGGACTGGGGGAGTAGGGGTCTGCAGCCGGGACAGGGAGAGGGTCGCTGGCCCACAGGCCTCAGGCAGCCTCTTCAGCTATGTCTGCAATTTCCTCTCCCCCTTCCTTCCCTCCTCCTCTCCAAGGCTCCCGCCAAGGCAGCCTCCCCCTCATCCTAGCTTCAGCAAGGGAGGGGAGGCCCACGATGGGGGGCCCCGGGGAGGCAGGGCAGAAAGAAGCCCCCAGCCACACACACTGATCACACACCACACTGCATGCACAAGCCCAGGTGGGAAATGCCTGTGTGAGCACAGGCAGGTTTAGCCTTGGGGTGGGAGGTGGGGAGCACGATGGGGTGGGAGGGGACGGAATGGGGTGGGATCCGCCACAAGCCACCACAAGCTGCTTGGTGCACAAGAGTGCAGGAGCTCGCAGGCACAGAGGCCCTGAGCTGGGGTCTGCAAGGCTGCTGGCCGGGGCCTGGCTCAGAGCTGCAGCCCAACAATCATTAACCCTGCGTGACCAGGCCAGAGCTCAGCCAGGGGACACATTCAAGCCTGGGGCCTGGGAGGAGGGGTGGACAGTCCCCTCCCTTACACGCTGGCGTGGGTCTGGGGAAGAGAAGCGGTCTTCTCCGGCTGGGGCCTCCTAGGAGGGGGAGCGGTGGTTTCGAGCTCAGGCTTTAGGGTCAGAGAGCAGTAGGTTCAAATTCTGACGGTTTGGTAAAGTCATTCAATCTCTCCATGACTCCGTTTATTTTATCTGCGAAGTGGGGATAATCGTACCACGTCGCAGGGTTGTTAGGCGGAGTAAGGGAAAGAACCTGTCCAGGGTTTAGCCCCCGGGCCCGCGCGCGCAGGCAGAGCTCCAGCCTCACTGTTGTTGTTAGTGGCCCGGGGGCGGGTCCCAGCCGCGGCCTCCCCCGGCGGTTTCCTGTGGGGGACGGACGGCCCGCAGGCCTGGCTCTCCCTCCTCCCGGCTGCCCGCTCCTCTCCCCTTCCTCTCCCGGCCCTTTTCCTCCCCGCCTCCCCGCCCGCCCCGCCCCGTCCCGTCCAGTCCCGTCCCTCCTCTTTCCTCGGAGGAAACTTTCCGCCGGCTGGTCCCTCGGCCCGTGTCCCGCCCGCGCTGCCGCGGCCTGGGAGCCCAGCGAGGCCGGAGGGGCGGAGGGGCCGGAGTGGGCGGGGGCGGGGGCCAGTGTATGCGGCCACGGGACGCGCAGGGGCTGGGCAGCCGGGAAGCGGGGTGCTGAAGGTGAGTGGGCCCGGCCCCGGGCCGGTGGGTACCCGTGGGGCGGCGGGGCGGGGAGGGAGGCGGCTTCCCTTCCCGGAGCCTGGCTGGGGAGTGGAGGAGGCTCCGCGTCCCCATCCTCCAACCCGCCCTGGGACTGCGGAACTCGGTCTCCGCTGGGGACCCCACAAGGGGGCGGGGCCTCCCGCAGCCCCCGGCGGCCGCTCCCCGGGCTGGAGGGGCATCCGCACTTGGGAGAGGGGTGCCCCCCACCCCGGCAGGGCCCGGGGCCGCCTCGAAGTTAGGGAAGCGCTCTCTCCAGGGTGAAACCTTGGAGCTGCCCGCAGAAGGGGTCGGTGTCGGCTCCAGGCTGGGAGGAGGATCTGACTTTGCTGACCTCGAAGGGTGGCAGGGGAGCTGTCCCCCAGAACAGCATGGATGCCCCACGAAGGGACATGGAGTTGCTCAGCAACAGCCTGGCTGCCTACGCACACATCCGCGGTGAGGGCGGGCGCCGGAAGACCGGGGACCTGGACCCTTCCCTGCCTACCATCCCCTGCCCTCCCCAGCGCCTCGCCCGTCCCCTCCGCCCCGCTCCCGCCCCCTTGCCCGCTGGCGGTTCCCTCATGCCCTTCGAGTGGGGGTTACAGGCCTTGCCCCCAGACCTAGAACCTGGGGTCTTTTCCAAGTGGGACGCCCCCTACCCGCCCGGGCCCCTCTGTGACCCCCACCCTGTGCCTCGCAGCCAACCCCGAGAGCTTCGGCCTCTACTTCGTGCTGGGCGTCTGCTTCGGCCTGCTGCTCACCCTCTGCCTGCTCGTCATCAGCATCTCGTGGGCGCCGCGCCCGCGGCCCCGGGGCCCAGCTCAGCGCCGGGACCCCCGCGGCAGCACCCTGGAGCCCGAGGACGACGACGAAGACGAGGAGGACACGGTGACGCGGCTGGGTCCGGAAGACACGCTGCCGGGCCCCGAGCTGTCCGCGGAGCCCGACGGGCCCCTCAGCGTCAACGTCTTCACGTCGGCGGAGGAGCTGGAGCGGGCGCAGCGGCTGGAGGAGCGCGAGCGGATCCTGCGGGAGATCTGGCGCACCGGGCAGCCGGACCTGCTGGGCACAGGCACGCTGGGGCCCAGCCCCACGGCCACAGGCGCGGGCTCCCTGAGCCGCATGCACTATTACTGATGGGCCCCGGCTCCAGCTGCAAGGCGCTGGGGGTGCCGGACTGCACAGGAGCACAGAGCTGCCCCAGACCTTCGGACTGCCTTGGCCCCCACGGCTCTCCGGTGCTACTGGGCGTGGATCGCCACCCCGAGAGGCTCCCTGCCCCAGTCCTGCCAAAAGACCCCGGGGGCGGGGGAGGAGGCAGGATGCAGGGTCCCCACTCCCTCTCTGGGGTACGATCAAGAGATAAAGTGACCAAATGAAAGAAAGCTGCATTCTCAGTGACTCAGTCTCTCCCTCTGTTACTCCTGCTTCCTGCGGACCCCAGGCTCCTGCCACGCCGGGGTCCCAGGGCTGAGGCCCCGCTTGACCTCTTTTCCCTGGCTGCACCCCCACCCTCACCCGTCTGAAGACACAGCACACATGCCCGCGTTCACTCCACAGCCAGCAGAAGGGCCGAAGCCCACAGGTCTGCACCCAGCCGCACACACAGAGCAGTGCACACGCATTCCTTACCGGCAAGCGCCTGGGCACACGTCGCCCCGTCCCCACGGTGCCCTGGGTTCATACATTCCTATGACACACACACACCAGGCCCCGGGACCCTGACCTCGAGGCTAAGATGCTATTAGCCCCGGTGTAATCATGCGTGCTTGGGCTGGGCGCTGGACTTCACGTCTGCGCCGAGGTGCGTTCAAGCGAGAGGGCAGGAGTCCCTCTGAGCGGACCCGGAGGCCAGCTGGGAGGGGTCCGAGCTCGCGAGAAGGCCAGCCGGCTCCTCCCCGGCGCACAGCTGGATTCCGGAATCCAGGCCGGGCGACACAGCCCGACCCCGCCGGGGCCCCTCCTGCCCGCCATTTCTCCAGCGCGCTGCTGGCGTCCGAAGGAGACACCCTCCCCCGCCCCTCACCATCCGGTGGATAAAAATAGCTGCGTGCAGGCCTTGGGAACCGTAATGGGAGCCACATGTTGGCCAGATGTGCCCCGCACAGACTGCCCGGAATGCGGAGGCCCAGGCCCTGTCCCCGCGCAGGCCCCGCCCCCAGCGACCAGACCAAGCCTTGCGAGGCAGAGTTTACTTTCTCGTGTTTCCCAAAGTCGTGTGCAAGAACGTGGGTGGCCCCAGCCAGGTCCGGCCGCGGTCGCTTCCCAGGCCCGCCCTCAGGTCTGCGTCTGTGCGTGGGTGATGCGCTGGGCCTGGCACTTCTGAGTCCCCTGCATCAGCTGGACCTGGTCGGGAGTGGGGTGGAGACTTTGTCAGGGGCGACCCGCTGCCAGCCCCCTCCCCCCGGGACGCGCCCCTCACCTCCAGCCTCTGGCGCTTCTCCTTCTCGCTCTTCAGCTCCTCCCAGAGGTCCGTCAGCTTTTTCCTGCAGGCCGAGTCGAGGCGGAGGTGAGGGGCTGGGCAGGTGAGGGCTGGGGGGACCCTCCCTTCCACACCCCACCGCTGCCAACTCACTCCAGCTGCACCCCCATCAGCTCCAGCGCCCTCCTTAGAGATTCCACCTCCCCCTTCAGCGTCGTTACATCGACTCCCTCATTCTTGCTTTCCGCGTTTTGTGGGACCGGGGTCGGGAGCGTGAGCGTCTTTTGGGAGTCTGGAGGGGGCTTGATAGGACGTGTTTTTTGGACAAAGATTCCTTCAATAGGGGGCACCTCCTCTTTTGGAGCCACTTCCTCTTTGGGGAGCACCTCTTTTGGGGGCACCTCCTCTTTGGAAGCCACTCCCTCTTTGGGGAGCACCTCCTCTCTCAGAAGCCTCTCCTCATTGGGGGGCGCCTCCTCTTCAGGAGTCCTCTGGTCTTTGGAAGGTACACCCTCTAGAAGGGTTGTAGCCTCTTCCTGGGTCGGGGGCTTCTCTAGGGCAGGCCTGGATGTTGGCCCAGACTTCAACTCAGCCTGGGGTCGGGAGCTGTCCCCTCTAACTAGGGGGCATTTCATCTCTCCCAGGCACCTCTCTGAGGAAGGAGGCTGCAGTGGGGGTGCCACTGGCATGCTGGCCTTCTCCTGGGATTGAGCCTCTTTGGCTACAAAGGACTTGACCTTCTGCAGGCCTTCCTCCGGAAAGAAGTGATAGCACTGAGTGTCATCACTGGTGGACACCTCTTCAGAAAGCTCTGGGGTCAAGATCTTTTCTAGGGTGGGGGCCTCATCCCCCAGAGGGTCCATCTTTGGATCAAGGACTTTATCCATAGGTGGGACTTCTGGGGCAGGAGCCTCTTCCATGGAAAAGACCCTTTCTGGAATGGAGGGTCTGTCCACAGTTGGAGTCTTCTCTGGGATGGAGTTCTCTGGGACAGAGGTCTTTTCCTCCAGAGTCACCGTCTTCTCTGAGGTGGGGATTTTGTCAGGAGCCGGCATCATTCCCAAGGTGGAGTTCTCTGGGATAGAGGCCTTATCCCCTGGAGTGAGGGTCTTCTCTGGGGAGGGGACTCTGTCAGGAGCTGGGGCCTTCTTGGAGCCGGGGGCCTTCTCCACAGCTGGGGGCCTCTCTAGGGTGACGGTCTTGTCCAGCACGGGGGTTCTCTTCACAGCGGGGGCCTTTGCTGGGCTGCTCTGCTCTTCCTCCTGCCGTGATGGGAGGTGAAGTCTCAGCTGAGGTTGAGTCTGGTTCCCCATGGCCTGGGATGCTTCACCCATGCACACCACAGCTGGGAACCAGCCTCTGCCCAGCACCCCCACTCTCCCATGCCTCTTGCTCCTCACCTGACTGGACACAGAGAGTTGCTGGGGAGTCTGGGTTTTGGATCGCTTTCGGCCTGTGTGGCCCGAAGCTCTATTTTGGAAGCTGCCACTGGGACCTAAGAGAGCAGAACTTCAAGGACCCAAGCCTACTCTGACCCTCCGTCTTCTCCCACCTCTGTCCCTCAGCATGCCACCCTACTCCTGTCCTCCAGGCCTCCCCACACGGGAGGAGGGCAGCCCCCACCTGAGTCTTGGGAGGTGAGCTTCTGACTGTCCCTGCTGGGTGTCCGAGACATCCTGGAACACATCTTCATCAGGCCCTGGGCGTGGGGCACAGGGAGGGACATTTCCTTCTTCCCTCCTTCCCCCAACCCCGTCCTGCTCCTTACCTGGCTTTGCTGGGCCCAGTGGGGGCTGCTGCTAACTTCTTGACTGTAGGGAGGGATGCTCTGGACATCAACTTTTTTGGTTCCTTAATAGGAGCTGGGAAGAGAGAGGCATGGAGCATTCATCCATCTAACAGTCACTGACCCTGTCTTGTGCTGTGTGCAGGGGACTATGGGCAGGAGATGGCTCTTGGTTGACTCTGCCTCCTGGGACGCTGACCACCCTCATGCATAGGAAACTGTGGGAGTACCCCAGAAGGACACTCAGCAGACAGTTTTCAGAGAAGGCTCTGTAGGGGAGATGGCTCATGTCCTGGCAGGTTTTTAATCTAAACTTTCTAAAACCTGTCCCTCTGAGCACCCATGGCTCTTCCCTGGCTCAGACTTCATCTCATTTCTGGACTGTGGCAACAACCTTCCCCCTTTCAGTCCACCCTCAGAATTCCATTTTTTTTTTTTTTTTTTTTTTTTTTGAGACTGAGTCTCACTCTGTCACCCAGGCTGGAGTGCAAAGGCAAGATCTTGGCTCACTACAACCTCCGCCTCCCAGGTTCAAGGGATTCTCCTGCCTCAACCTCCCAAGTAGCTGGGATTATAGGCACATGCCACGGCGCCTGGCTAATTTTTGTATTTTTAGTAGAGAAGGGGTTTCACTATGTTGGACAGGCTGGTCTTGAACTCCTGACCTCAAGTGATCAGCCTGCTTCAGCCTCCCAAAGTGCTGAGATTACAGGTGTGAGCCACGGCGCCCGGCCCACCCTCAGAATTCTTTATCTTCTCTCTCATTTACTCCCTAAGAGATCTCACCCAGTCTTATGGGTTTAATTATCATCAACAAGACAATGACTCCCACATTTTCATCTCTAGCTGATTCTTTCCTGAACTCCAGACTCATATCCAACTTCCCTCTCAATATTTACAGTTGGAGCGCTGATGGGCATCACACGCTTAACATATCCCAAACCAATCTCCTGCTTCCCGACCCCATGGCCCCTTGAATCTACCCCTTTCCCCATGGTCCCCATCTGGCTCATTTACCCACTTGCTTGGATGACAAATGACTCCCTTTATTTCCTTATGAGGCACATCCAAACCATCAGCAAATCCTGTCCATGCTATTGTCCAAGTATTTCCTGAATCCAGTCACTTGTCACCATCTCCACCACTAAGTGCTCTAGATCAGGTCACCGCCACCTTTACCTGGGTTTAGGCTGTACCCACCCCACCCAGCGTGTGTTCCTCCCACAGCAGTCAGGTGGAGTTCATGTTCTACCGGGGAAGCAGACATAAATAAAACGAGTAAAATACATACTGTGTTAGAGAGTTAAGTGTGACTGACAAGACTAGGCAGAAGGGCCGGGTGCAGTGGCTCACACCTGTAATCCCAGCACTTTGGGAGGCTGAGGTGGGCAGATCACCTGAGGTCAGGAGTTCAAGACCAGCATGGGCAACATGGTGAAACTCTGTCTCTACTAAAACTACAAAAATTAGCTGAGCATTGTGGTGCACACTTGCAATCCCAGCTACTTGAGGGGCTGAGGCAGGAGAATCGGTTGAACCTGAGAGGCGGAGGTTGCAGTGAGCCGAATCACGCCATTGCACTCCAGCCTGGGCAACAAGAGTGAAACTCTGTCTCAAAAAAAGACAGAGAGAAAAAGAGCTGAAGCCAGAAAGGCAGAGGGAGGGCAGCTTTGCTATGTAGCTACTAAGCCTGGGGGCCTGTGATGTGAAGCCAGGGCCCTGGGCTCTGCTCCCTCAGCTCACCACAGGCCCAAAGCTCACTACCACACAGCAGGGCCACCTTTCTTCAGGAGGGCCGAAGCAGCCTCTGGTGAGTTGTGTTCTCTGGCTACAGGCAGAAGTAAAAGCAAATTCTCGGCCAGGTGTCGTGGCTGATGCCTGTAATCCCACTACTTTGGGAGGCTGAGACAAGTGGATCACCTGAGGTCAGGAGTTTGAGACCAGCCTGGCCAACATGGTGAAACCTCATTTCTACTAAAAATACAAAAATTAGTTGGGCATGGTGGTGTGCACCTGTAATCCCAGTTCCTCGGGAGGCTGAAGCATAAGAATCACTTGAACCCGGGAGGAGGAAGTTGCAGTGAGCTGAGATCATACCACTGGCCTCCAGCAGGGGCAACAGAGCGAGACTTCATCTCAGAAAACAACAACAAAAGCAAACTCTCACTGGAAGAAGTCTTCTACTAGGGCCTGCAAGAGTTCCACAGATTAAAATCCAGCTATCAGCTCATAAACAAAGATCATGAAACATGCCAGAGGCAGATCACCAAGAATGGGAGTCAGCAGAGACAACACACAACAGATAGTGGAACTGTCAGGTAGAGAACACCGCATAGCTATGTATAAAATATTGGAAGAAATTCAGGATGTGCATGCAACAAAAGACCATCAGGAATAACTGGGCAGATACGGAAAATTATCAAAACAGTGAACTGAGGCCAGGCGCGGTGGCTCAAGCCTGTAATCCCAGCACTTTGGGAGGCCGAGGCGGGTGGATCACGAGGTCAAGAGATTGAGACCATCCTGGTCAACATGGTGAAACCTCGTCTCTACTAAAAATACAAAAAACTAGCTGGGCGTGGTGGTGCATGCCTGTAATCCCAGCTACTTAGGAGGCTGAGGCAGGAGAATTGCCTGAGCCCAGGAGGCGGAGGTTGCGGTGAGCCGAGATCGCGCCATTGCACTCCTAGCCTGGGTAACAAGAGCGAAACTCCGTCTCAAAAAAACAAACAAACAAACAAACAAACAAAAAAAAAACCAGTGAACTGAACTACTAGAGATGAAAAACAGCATTCTTAAAAAAAATGCAACATGGCCGGGCACGGTGGCTCAAGCCTGTAATCCCAGCACTTTGGGAGGCCGAGGCGGGTGAATCACGAGGTCAAGAGATCGAGACCAGGCCGGGCGCGGTGGCTCAAGCCTGTAATCCCAGCACTTTGGGAGGCCGAGGCGGGTGGATCACAAGGTCGAGAGGTCGAGACCAACCTGGTCAACATGGTGAAACCCCGTCTCTACTAAAAATACAAAAAATTAGCTGGGCATGGCGGCGCGTGCCTGTAATCCCAGCTACTCAGGAGGCTGAGGCAGGAGAATTGCCTGAACCCAGGAGGCGGAGGTTGTGGTGAGCCGAGATCGCGCCATTGCACTCCAGCCTGGGTAACAAAAGCGAAACTCCGTCTCAAAAAAAAAAAAAAAAAAAAAAAAAAAAGAGATCGAGACCATCCTGGTCAACATGGTGAAACCCCGTCTCTACTAAAAATACAAAAAATTAGCTGGGCATGGCGGCGCGTGCCTGTAATCCCAGCTACTTAGGAGGCTGAGGCAGGAGAATTGCCTGAACCCAAGAGGCGGAGGTTGCGGTGAGCCGAGATTGTGCCATTGCACTCCAGCCTGGGTAACAAGAGCAAAACTCCGTCTCAAAAAAAAAAAAAAAAAAAAGCAACATAAATCCATTTATTTACATGTGTATTGCTTATGTTACCTGTACAGGTTACAGAGCAGAGTAAACAGAGCCCAAAGGCTAGAGAGAGAGCTCGTAAACTAGAGGTGCAGTGAGACAAGGAATGAAAAGCATGAGAGCAAGGTTAGGACAGAGGCATCACAGAAATGGGGCTTGGCTCTAGCTGAATAAGGTGGTGGACAAATCCTCTCCTCACAAGGCAACTATGAAGCTAGACAAAAATGATCCAACAGGCTGGACGCAGTCTCACACCTGTAATCCCAGCACTTCTGGGAGGCCAAGGTAGGAGGATCACCTGAGGTCAGGAGTTTGAGACCACCTGGCCAACATGGCAAAACCCCATCTCTACTAAAAATACAAAAATTAGGCGGTATGGTGGCGGGTGCCTGTCATCCCAGCTACTTGGAAGGCTGAGGCAGGAAAACTGCTTGAACCAGGGAGGCGGAGCTTGCACTGAGCCGAGATCTCACCACTGCGCACCAGCCTGGGCAACAGAGTGAGACTCCATCTCAAAAAAAAAAAAAAAAAAAAAAAAAAAAGGCCGGGCGCTGTGGCTCAAGCCTGTAATCCCAGCACTTTGGGAGGCCGAGGCAGGTGGATCACAAGGTCGAGAGATCGAGACCATCCTGGTCAACATGGTGAAACCCCGTCTCTATTAAAAATACAAAAAAATTAGCTGGGCATGGTGGCACGTGCCTGTAACTAGCTACTCAGGAGGCTGAGGCAGGAGAATTGCCTGAACCCAGGAGGCGGAGGTTGCGGTGAGCCGAGATCGCGCCATTGCACTCCAGCCTGGGTAACAAGAGCGAAACTCCGTCTCAAAAAAAAAAAAAAAAAAAAAAAAAAAAAAAAAATTAGACAGGGCAAAGTGGCTCAGGCCTGTAATCCCAGCACTTTGGGAGGCTGAGGAGGGCGAATCATGAGGTCAGGAGACCAAGACCATCCTGGTCAACATTGTGAAACCTCGACTCTACTAAAATACAAAAAATTAGCCAGGTGTGGTGGTGTATGCCTGTAGTCCCAGCTACTCAGGAGGCTGGGGCAGGAGAATCATTTGAATCAGGGAGGCAGAGGTTGGAGTGAGCTGAGATCACACCACTGCACTCCAGCCTGGCGACAGAACGAGACTCTGTCTCAAAAAAAAAAAAAAAGACAATAAAATAAATAAATAAATACATTTTTAAGAAGTAATTAATTTAAAAAAAAAAAGGAGAATGGGACAAAATAATGCAAATATGCATATATGTGATGAGGGACTTTTATCTAGAATATATACAAAACTCTTCTAACTCAATAGTAAAAAGACAAATAATCCAATTTTTTAAATGGGCAAAGGATCCAAATAGACATTTATCCAAAAGAAATAGGCACATGACACCGGCACAAGACCAAAAAAAAGAAATAAGCACATGAAAATATGCTCAGCTTCATTAGCCATCAGAGAAATGCAAATCAAAACCACAATGAGATACCACTTCATACCCACTAGGACACTTTCATTAAAAAGATAACAAAAAGAACTGAGTAAAGGGGCTCACATCTGTAATCCCAGTATTTTGGGAGGCCAAGGGAGGAGGATCATTTGAGCACAGGAGTTCAAGATCAGCCTGGGCAAC